TTTTTTTGTTTTTTTTTTTATTTTTTTTTATTTTGGGGTCATATTGTATATGTTTTTTTTTATTAGTTATGATTTTCTTGTTATGTGACTTTTTGAAGGCCATAATTTTTCCTGGAGAATTGAGTGAAAACTTGCTCCCTCCACTACCTGCTCTGAAGCATTTGAAGTTAGAGATAATAAGTGCATTATCAACCACTTGTTCAACAATTGTGGATGGCTTGGTTTGGATTTTTCCTGGTTTAGAGACCCTAACCATAAAGTCTGCTTCATCCAATAAGTTCATTAAGGTAAGGAAATATATAAACTCTTGCTTGCATGACAAACTTCATTTTCTTTATCAAAATTTTAGGGATCTCAAAGTGTAGAATATTTAATAATTTATTTGAAATTTCTAACACTGCTTCTTCTTCTTCTTTTTAATTGCAATTTATCAAACATACATTCATTCATATTTTGCTTTACGTTCTATTTGGATCATAAATTTATGTAGTAATTTGGAAACAGAAAATGAAAAGGTAAGTAAAATGTGAACGAAATATAATTATTTTTTACCTATATTTCACTTATTATTTTTCTTTTTCCTTTTAAATTTTTTACCTAAATCCATGATCTAAATACAACCTTAATGGTAGTCACTATAACTTTGGTGTCACATCATTATTAACAGATTGTATTATTATTAATTAATGATAAAAATTATTCATATGACAGTGAACTCCACTATTTATGTATAACCGAAAAGTCTATGGACCATAAAAACAAAACCTGGAAAATGTCCAAAATGGTAAATCTATAGTGTCAAATTAAAGTTGTATGTGTAGTATCATATGATCAATGAATCAGGATCTTTGTTTTCAAATTCTAGACTATTTTTGGTTCTTTTTGTTTGGTTCATAAAACTAAGAAATTTCATACAGGTCATCTATAAATAGTAGAGTTTTTGTATACTTACATGGTTAGTTCTTTCAATCTTGAGTTTATTTTCTCATTACAATCTTTGTATACTTACGTGTAAGTGTAAGAATATTACATCTAATGGAGAAAAAAAATTTAAACTTATATTTTATTCACATTATGCTTACATTTTTTCTTTTATTTTTTAAAATTTTTACCTAAATTTATAATTCAAACACAACCTATAATTATTTTTCTTTAAAACTAAAATACCAATCATTGTGGCTCAAACTTTAAAATAAGCCAGCACAAATTGTGGTTCAAGTTCTAAAATAAGCACAGTAACATCAATCTGGGTGGATTTTTTGTTCAAAAATTCTACTTGTGAAATTTTTTTTTTTATTTAAAAAATGTTACATTGTTCTGTTTAACATCTCTATAAAAATACTCTCTTTTTTTTTTTTTCTTCCTAATAACATACAATTATATTTGGGTCCTTCTCGTTTGAAACCAAAAGACCATTCGAGGTGACGAATTGTTTCAAAAATATCATATGTAAAATCTGTAAGAATATTTTTTTTTTTGTTTTTTTTATTTTTTTTATTTTGGGGTCATATTGTATATGTTTTTTTTTATTAGTTATGATTTTCTTGTTATGTGACTTTTTGAAGGCCATAATTTTTCCTGGAGAATTGAGTGAAAACTTGCTCCCTCCACTACCTGCTCTGAAGCATTTGAAGTTAGAGATAATAAGTGCATTATCAACCACTTGTTCAACAATTGTGGATGGCTTGGTTTGGATTTTTCCTGGTTTAGAGACCCTGACCATAAAGTCTGCTTCAACAAATAAGTTCATTAAGGTAAGGAAATATAACCTCTTGCTTACATGACAAACTTCATTTTCTTTATCAAATATTTTAGGGATCTCAAAGTGTAGAATATTTAATAATTTATTTGAAATTTCTAACATTGCTTCTTTTTTCTTTTTTTTAATTTCAATTTATCAAACATACATTCATTCATATTTTGCTTTATGTTCTATCTGGATCATAAATTTAGGTAGTAATTTGGAAACAGAAAATGAAAAGGTAAGTAAAATGTGAACGAAATATAATTATTTTTTACTTATCTTTCACTTATCTTTTTTCTTTTTCCTTTTAAATTTTTTGCCTAAATCCATGATCTAAATACAACCTTAATGGTAGTCACTATGAGTTTGGTGTCACATTATTATTAACAGATTTTATTATTATCAATTAATGATAAAAATTATTCATATGACAGTGAACTCCACTATTTATGTATAACCGAAAAGTCTATGGACCATAAAAACAAAACCTGGAAAATGTCCAAAATGGTAAATCTATAGTGTCAAATTAAAGTTGTATGTGTCTCGCCTCAGCAGGACACCCCCACACATGCAAATGTTTTAGACTAGGCTTTCGCCCAACCCAAAGCTCATAAGGTGTTTTTGCAGCTGCTTTAGTTGGCACCCGATTTAAGATATAAGTTGCTGTCTTTAGAGCCTCACCCCAGAGGGATTCTGGTAAAGTAGAATGACTGATCATACATCTTACCATATCCTTAAGAGTCCGGTTTCGTCTCTCAGATACACCATGCATGCTAGGTGATCCTGGTATGGTGTATTGTGGGACGATTCCACATTCCTCCAGGTATTTTGCAAACGGTCCTAGACGTTGTTCACCTGATCCATCATATCTGCCATAGTATTCACCACCACGGTCAGACCTGACACTTTTAATCCGTTCGGCCTTAAATTTTTTGAATACGTCCAAAGACTGTGATTTCTCATGGATAAGAAATAGATACCCATATCTGGAATAGTCGTCTATGAATGTGATAAAATAATGTTGACCATTCCAAGATGCCATAGGGAATGGGCCACAAATGTCCGTATGAATTAATTCTAAGACATCTGTAATCCTATGGGCACCATATTTCTTTATTTTGGTCTGTTTCCCCTTGATACACTCAACACAGACATCAAAATCTGAAAAATCAAGAGAGTCCAAAATTCCATCAGACACAAGGCGCTCAACTCTAGATTTAGAGATGTGACCTAGGCGTTTGTGCCATAATGAGACTGAATTTTCCTTAGTTAATTTACGCTTTGTACCTCGTGATTCCACGTGCAAGGTTGCATTATAAGATGCAATAGTTTCGAGCAAATATAGATTATCAAACACATTAAGTAAACCAGTACCAACAACATTGGAATTAATAGACATACTAAACTTCAAGCAAGAAAGGACTGAAAGTGCTCATCTGGCAAGCACCTCCAAGCATACGGGCAAAAGAACGCATAAGGGAAAGGAAGTTGCTATTCCTCAGGGTCCGAAACCAAAGAAACAGAAAGTGCAGGATGGTTGTATCATATGATCAATGAATCAGGATCTTTGATTTCAAATTCTAGACTATTTTTGGTTCTTTTTGTTTGGTTCATAAAACTAAGAAATTTCATACAGGTCATCTATAAATAGTAGAGTTTTTGTATACTTACATGGTTAGTTCTTTCAATCTTGAGTTTATTTTCTCATTACAATCTTTGTATACTTACGTGTAAGTGTAAGAATATTACGTCTACCCAAAAAAAAAAAAAAAAGTTTACAAAAAAATCAATGTGTAATTCATTTTGAGTGTGGTTATAACCATATACCGAATGAATTTATATTACACATTTTATTTATTTATTTATTAATTATAATTATTATAATCTTTGCAGTTTCTTTGATATATGTATGTATTTTGGACATAATATTACTGTTTGTGTAAGATAGTTGTTAACCAATAAAGCATTATGATAGCTTATTTATTCTGACCCTATTGCATCTACAGCTTTAAATTGACAAAAGGTTTGATTGATTGTGGAGAAGAGGATCTGGAGTTTTGAGAATGTTGAAGGATGCAACCAAAGTTAAAAATAAAAGATAGAAGAGGAGAAAAAGCAAAGGGAAAATTTATGTTTTTCATGTTGGAGCTGTTACTGGAATTTTCATGTTGCTTTTTGAGAACTAGGATTTCTTTGCGAATTGATGTTTTAGTAATTTTTTGATTTTTTGCAACTAAAAAAAAAAAAATTTGAGCATAATGGAGAGAGAATATGTATGGCTTTTGTGTTTTAGATTATTTTAGTCAATTACCAAAGATAGCCTTATTAGATTTATGAGAGTAAGTTTTATGTCTAATTTTTCCTTTTCTTTTCACCAATCTTTTGAAACCATATATGAAAATGGCTCTTTTAACCTCAGAATATATCATGCTTGCTTGTGATATCTACTCTCCTAAGCATGTGTTTGGATGTGGAGAAAAAAAATATATTATCTTTTATTTTTGTTTATTTTCTCATTACAAATTCAAGATCTAGGAGATATATCATCTTACAGAGGATCAAAATTTTGAATAAAATGAGATATGGGTGTCAAATAAAAGCTTTTTTTCTTCTTTTTTTAAAGATAAAACATCCAACATATACATAATGCATCACAAATAAATAATGAATCTTGTTAACAAGTGTAACGCCCTCAAAAAAATAACATTATACCCATCAAATAAGACACGCATTTACATATAAACTAACCATATTCCTTTATTCCTTAGAGTTCCATTACATAAGTATTACATGTTAACATCAACACAACCAACCTGTAACAAACCTGCCTAACACATCCTCTAACTCAAATATGAAGAAAAAGAAATGTAAACACGATAATAACCAACTACCAACATCTACGGACACATGTCCGGATCACTATACAACAAGGGTAAACCCGGGATCGCTATAACAAGAAAGTAATAACTAGTTTTAACCATTTCCATTTATATGAAGGCTGTTGAATTTCTAGTGTTTTTCAAGAAGCTCGTACATTATTTTCTTTTACATGGATAAAAATACACTATTTTTGGAGATACAAAAAAAAAATTAAAAATGAACAATAAATATATTTTTAAAATTGATCATTTATTTTTTAAAAAACAAGGGTCACAAAATAAAAATATTATGATTATTAAATCATTTTATAAAATAAATAATTCAAATTATTAAAACGAAACTTCACGAGGAGTGGTATAAATTGTTTATATATGAACTTTTAACTGAGACACACACAAAGCCTCAACGGCCCAAAAAACCAAATGGGTTCCTACTCTTCAAACTACCTACGCTTGCTTTCTTACACAAAGCAATTGGCCTCTCACGTCAACCAAGGCCGCCACGACCAAGCCCTCGCTCTCTTCCACCACATTCACACCTCTCTCGCACTCACTCTCGACCCCTTCGTCTTCCCTCTCGCCCTCAAGTCCTGCTCTGCTCTCCACCGCCCACTTCTCGGCACTTCCATTCACACCCATGCACTCAAAGCCTCTCTACTCTCAAACCCATTCGTCGCTTCTGCTCTCGTCGATATGTATGGAAAATGCGGCTCGATTTTCTTAGCACGCCTAGTGTTCGACGAAATTCCTAACAGGAACGTGGTTGTGTGGAATGCCATGATTTCAATCTATACCCATTCTAATAATGTTGCCAAGGCTTTGGACTTGTTTCATATCATGGATGTTATGCCAAATTCATCCACTTTTAATTCAATTATAGCCGGTTTGTCAAGACTAGATGATGGGTCGTTTAAGGCTATTGCGTTTTATAGAAAAATGCTGTGTTCGGGTTTGAAACCGAATTTGATTTCTCTTCTTGCTTTGTTACCTGCTAGTGTAGGTATAGCGGCGTTGAATTTGATTAAAGAGATTCATGGGTACTCGATTAGGAACGACATTGACCCTCACCCTCATTTGAGGAGTGGCTTGGTTGAAGCCTATGGGCGTTGTGGGTGTCTAGAGAATGCGCGTTATGTATTTCAAAATATGAAGGAAAGGGACGTTGTTGCGTGGAGCAGCTTGATATCAGCATACGCTCTTCATGGGGAGGCAAGAATTGCATTGGAAATCTTTGCGCAAATGGAGATGGCAAAAGTAAAGCCCGATGGGATCACTTTTCTTGGGGTGTTGAAAGCTTGTAGCCACACGGGATTAGTTAACGAAGCCCAGACATACCTTTCTCGAATGCAAAATGTTTATGGTCTGGAAGTGACTAGCGATCACTATTCGTGTCTCGTGGATGTTTTGAGCAGAGCAGGGAGATTATATGAGGCATATGAGGTCATACAAGAGATGCCTGTGAAGGTGACTGCAAAAGCTTGGGGTGCCCTTCTTGGAGCATGTCGAACTTATGGAGAGGTGGACCTTGCAGAGATTGCAGGGAGAGCTTTGTTCGAAATAGAGCCTGAAAATGCTGCCAATTATGAGCTGTTGGCTAGAATATATGCTAGTGCAGGGAGACATGAAGAAGCTCAGAGAATGAAAAGAGAAATGAAGGAGAGGGGAGTAAAGACGGTGCCGGGTAGTAGTTGGGTTATAAACCAAAACTAACGCAAGCATTAATTTTGAGATCAATCTCACCTTTTCTAATGATTGACAAAAAAGATGGCTTATACATAGACATCGTGACATGTATGCAAAAAAGACAATAAACATCAGCAAAATGGTCCTTTTCTAGGTATTCTGGTGCTATTAAGCAAGGCAATTCCAAGCTGAGGATAACTACACTCCTTGAGTTGAAGTTAGAGAATATATTCAATAGGATAGCAGAAAGAGGTAAATTCTATGCCCACCATCAGCAGTAGGTCAAGTGAGACAGGTGTGTCAGCATGCAAATTCTGCCGAGGCAATTGTATTTTAATTTGTTAAATTTTTGAATCATTGCATTTTGATTTGGTTTGATTAGAAATTTTAGGTTAAGTAATGGTGAATTCAAATTGAACCCTGGTATGGATTCAAGTGTTGCAACTAATGTAGTGTGAGTAAAGCTTGTAGTTTTTGCAGTCTCAAATTTCTAATGGAACATATGTATTGAAAAGATTGGGGGGAAAAATACAATGTAAAGAGTTGTTAGTTGTGCTGCGGAATTTACAGAGTTCGTTTTTTTGATGGTTGATGAGTGATCCAAGTTAATGATCTCATTAGTCAAATCCTAGATCAATGTTGTTGATCACTCCAAGGTTATTTTGCTCTGTTTTGTTAACTGAGGTAGAATAAAATAGAATAGAATGATCATTCCTTCAACTCTCTTATAAAATTATCATTCTCTTACAATAGTGAATAATGATTATATTTGTAATGTATTTTCTATTATTTGTTTAGTTAACCAAACATAAAAATTAAAATTTTAATAGAATAATCATTCACTCCACTTCATTCCAGTAAATCAAAACTACCTTACTTGTATACCTTTCTTTCCTTCTTTTTTTTATTTTTTTTCCTTTCATTTTTGCAGGAGAAACATAAATAACTTTGTGTAGAATCTTCTACCATTTAAATGTTGTTTCAATTAATTTTTTTCAAAGGTAAATGATATATATTTATTTTTTCACTATTTTAAATTTTCCGAATATTTGACAAGTTATTATTTGCATTATATATTTTTTAGTAATTATTTTTAAATAAGAAAATTAATAATAAGTATCTATATAAACAGTGATATAAAATGTAGATAATAATATAAAATGGTGACAAAATTTGATAATATATAACATTTCTCTATATCCACTTTAAAGAACATAAGCCTCTGGCATGGGTGAAGTGGGTGCGACTGTTTTTGAGGGCCACAATATTGTTGAGTTGTTTCATTGAGTGGCTCATTGAGTCAACTTAGGCTATGTTTGTTTGGGTGGACATGAGTTTGGGATTGGATTAATAGTCCAATAAAATTATTAATCCGATATTTGGTTAAACAATTGAAGTACGGACTAATTATTTTAAACTTGACTATTAGTTAAGATAGGATACATAATCCAATGGATTCGTAGTCCTAGGACTATTAGTCATGGGAATGCTAATCCAGTCCATCCAAATAAATATGGCCTTAGTGGGTTGGCTCAGATTTTAAAAGGCTTGCAAATGGGCAAGTTGCATTTCTAAAATCTTGCTGGATACATTGCACTATTATTCTGTAAATGCAACTTGCAAACAAGTTAACAGGTTGATGCCATGGAAAAGTATCCTTTTATCCTTAAGAATTGGTGTATAAAAAGGAGTGTTGGTAGGCAAGCAAGTGAAGAGCAAAAGTGAGTATTCAACTGTGACTGAGTGTGAGTTGAGTTTGAGAGTATTGCCTCCTCCTCCATTTGTGATCTCATTTTATTTTGCAATTTTCTTTCTCAAGTTAGTGAAAATTCACTAGGCGTTTATCAAATCACGTAAAATTTGTGTATTTCTTCTTTGGTTATTTGTTTTGTGTTTATTTTTGGGTCTAGACACAACAAATATCACTCTTGTTTTTAAAATGACAATAAAATCGAGTTAAGTAATATCTCAATATACATGATGTACTAACAAAACTCTCAAAAACACACTAATAGATTCATCATACCTCCATCTTTTATTATTTTTTTATCAGCTAAAGCTAGTATTAATTATTAGATTAGCATGTGCAATAATTGAACTCCCAATATTTCTTTACAAACATTTATGTCTTACCCTAATGCCACCTATTTAAACCTTATTTGCGGCTGATTTTTTTTAGTTGGATAGCTTTCTTTACATTTCATACATTTTTTGTAGATAAAAAAGCTCGACGTCCTCGTGAATCATGATGTACTTGGACTTTATCATTTTACCTTCTACGATTATAAAAAAATATCAATCATATAAAAAATAAAATCATAAAAGTATGAAAAGTTTAAAAACTATAAAATTGAATTCTTGCCAAACAAATATGAACTAAAAATGGCGAGAAAATATTTTTGATTTTCTTAGGCTATGCCAAATAGAAAATTTCACTCTCTATTTTCAATGGTAAAAAATCCTATTGCAAACAAGGTCTTAGTGAATCTATGTTGCAATTATGGTATAACATAGGGAGAATTATTAGATAGTTCGAAAACATATGTAATTTTGTTTATGTGGTGCTCTTGACAAATAAAAAATAACTCACATTAAATGGGTCATTTCTTATCTCAACTACTTAATAAAAGTGAATCATTATATCCTACTTGTAAGATTTCTTGCTACACTAACAATTTGGACCATCGTGCACCACTGTCACATGGTTACTCCTACCGTACCAATTTTTTTAGATTCATATGAAATAAGAGAAACAAGAGTTCAATAGAAATAACAGCAACAAGCCAAAGGGCTAGTCCCTCACTAAACTAGCTCCAGTCATGTCATCTATAAGCAGGGCAGCAACTTCATCTGGAGGGTTATCAAGGATTACAACATGCTCATTTTGAGACACTCCCATATTGGCTAAATGATCAACAACTCTGTTACCCTCACGTAGGGTGTGACCAAGAAAGTAGTTAGTCCTCTGCAGCAGGAACTTAGTATCCTCAATGAAGGCCTTATGGTGAGTTGTGGTTTGAGCCATGAAGGATTTGATTAATGGCCTGCTCAGAATCTGATTCTAGTTGCACATCTCTTGTATTTTTTTGGAAGAGAATGGTGAGCCCTCTATATATGGCCCATATTTCTGCCTCTAAGCTCGTACAGTGGCCTAACTTGCCGTAATAACCCCAAATCCAAGTGCCTGTTTCATCTCGCAGCACTCCTCCATAACCTGCTTGGCCTGGGTCTCCCTTTGAGCAGCCATTAGCATTCATTTTGAGCTTACCTGAATAGGGTTGGAAAGGTTATCAAAAACCAGTTTATTTCGATCTTTCCAGATTTGCCAAAGTGCAACAATGAAGACAAGATACCATTTTTTTCCATGAAAAATATTTTTGTTCTTCATATTCAAAATAACCCAATCATTCAGAGGCAGTTGATTTCCTTCTTCCCACCAAGTAAGATTTTGAATGTGAGTCCAAATATCTTTAGAGGTAGGACATGTTAGATAATGTCTCAATGGGACCACATAATTAAATGTGGTCTTATCATTTATAAGAAGCCTACAATTTAAGTGATTCAATTTAGTTAATAGGCTTGAGGGTATATGTGTTATGGACCTAATGTGTAGATACTAGTTGTATAATTTCTATTTCTATGAGGGGCAGAAATAGAAATTAAAACATATTGGTTAAAGTTGGTTTTCATTCCTTTTGAACTTTCACAACCTTTCAGTTTTGAAAACCAATTACAACCTTTAAAAGGTTATGGTCCCTATTCCTTCCCAAGGTGAAGAGAAAATAAGAACATTGTTTGTTTTTCTAAATCCTCTCAAGGAGAAACATAAGGCACCAAAAGGGAAAGGATTAGAAGGCTCTAACAAAGTCAATATCAAAGGTTTTATTGACAATCAAACGCTTCCGTTTAACCGTTCATCGATGGATTCGGGTAAGTTTTAGTCTTGTTTTCTTGATGATATACATGGTAGATGATCCGAAACATGAAGTTTCATGTTCTGAAATTTATGTTTACAAGACATTCTCTAAGCAAATGCTTCATGTCTTCACTATGTTGGCCACACCTGGGGCAGATATCAGTTGGGGCAAGATGTCTAACAAGACGAAGCTGGCTAGTCAGCAACCTGCCCTTTAAGATCAGCCAAAGGAAACATCTAAGTTTCTGAGGGATCATAATTTTCCAGATCCACTTCCAGTCTCTGTTTGTCAGATCAGAATCAGTAATGAAACTAAAGGCTGAGGCTGAAGTGAAGTTGCCAGTTTGAGCTATGTTATGAATTATGAAAACTTATTTCGAATTGTACCCAAATAAGTTGTATGGTATAAATTTAAAATTAGTTAAATGTAGGTCTCACTCAAAATGATTGTGATTCATAATATATTTTTCTGATTTGTAACATTGTGCTTCGGCTGATACCAACATGTGACATGGGCAAAATCTTCACTTCAATATAAGTGATTATGTGGTAGTCTTTCAAAAATAATTACTTTGCACTGTTCAACACATGATATTTATTATGTTTTCTCTTATAAATCAAATAAAAAAATACTGAATCCCATTGTATTAACCAATAAAAGTCAAGTTAGAACAATAAACAGTAGCAAACTTGCCCAATGCCACCAAATAATTTTCCATTCTCATTGGCCAAAGGAAAATTTACCTATAAATCCTATCAGGAGAAATTATGATCTATTTGGTCTCATGAGATTTTTTATTAACCAATTAGTCCTATTGATTTTGGTAAGGTAGATTTAATATATTCTCTTGAGAGAGTTTTTACGTTTATGACCTTGTTCCAAACAGTTTTAAATTGATTTTTTTGTGTGGGAAGAAAGTTTGGGAACACAAAGTAATATTTTTTGTGATTCCATTGAGGAAATCATGAGATTGATTTGAGTGGGGATTCCGTTTTGGGGTTGGATGTGAATATATACATGTAGGGGTGAAATAGTTATGCCAATGCGGATTTTCGTGGTGGGGTGACTAATAAACAAAAATAAATACTAATGTGGCAATTAACAATGCTACATTTCGTAAATGGCTCTTGAACTATTGGACAATACCCAATTAACATCGCCACTCAACCACATTATTTTAAAACGCGC